CATAAGGAAGCTATCAAAGACAAATTTGGAGTAATAAAATTAAACAACAGGACCAGACAAACCGCTTAAAAGGAGAGTCTTCGAAAAGTCAGAATAGAGAATATGCAGTCTTTTGCTACAAAACTTTAGGGCTCCTATTCTTTAGGGGAGCACTTGCTTATTGGAAAGTAAAAGTAATCCTCAAGAATTAATACAAAGAAAGCACTGAACAATTGCAGGATACATTCCCAGCTGGTACTTGTCTGTCCTAAAGACATACATGGGAAATAGCCTTGCTGATTAAGGGATTAAATTAATTGACTTCACATGATAGACCATGAGCTACAGATGGGGGTGCAAGGGAGGAAAGTCTGAATAGGTGAGCTCTATGCTCAGACAGACATGAGAGAGTGTGTGCACCTAAGCCTGGGATCTGAGTGAGGAAGAAACCATTTAAAGAGTTTAAGTCTAATTCTCCACACTGATAGATTTTTTCTCTTTTAAGAATCTAAAGGATCCTAGAAGGCTGTAACCCACAAATGGTCATTCCACACGGTGTACAGCCACTGGTCATCAGCGAAGTACTTGTTTCCTCTGAGTGACAAGCTACTTGCTGGCAGCCATTGTGTGGGGCGGCGAGTTCTCCTAAAGTGTTAAATGACATAAGGAGTTTACTGAGCTCTGAATATGAGTTCATTTTAGTTGTTTTTCTTTGTCACTGTTCATATGCTCCTATTTTCTCTGCTCTATTGCACATTCATTTATGATGTCCACAGCAATAGGAGTGGTTGCTTTTGTTTTTTTTTAAATTTTTATTATGAATTACTTGTATGAGGTTATAATTCCATTAAGTAAGGTTATGAGTACAATGTAACTTGATCATTGTTCCTCTTTCCAATCTTCTTTCATTTTTCATTCATTCTGTTTTATTTTACTAAGCCATAGGACCATAGAATGACCCCAGAGACTGTAGTGTGTTCTTTTTATTAACAAAAGGTCAAAATGTGAATTTATTGTGTACTAGTCCATGGAAAAAACCTGGACTCTAACTTCTTAGAGACTTCCACCTTCACAGTAATAATTTCAGCAAGCGTTAACCATTCTCCTTTGCTAGTTTTACTCTATCAAAGATCTTTTCATTTATGAAATGATTTGTATTTGAGATGGTAGACAAACTGTATACACTCACCTCAATTTACTTAACCTTCACAGAAATTTAATTATAGATATTTTTCAATTCAATCGTACAAGGACGATGTTAGATATGAAACCATTTTCACACTTAAGGAGCAATTGGGATTTGGCCTATCCGACTAAAATACATGCTCTTTCCATCTAAAAAACAACACCTGTCTTCCCTGATAGGGAAGTCTTGGTTCCTGTTTCTAAGACTTTATAGAAGTTCTTACACACAAAAAAAGAGTTTTGACACTACTTTAAAACTATCAAAAACTTGTGAGTTACCTGGTTTTTTTTCCCCCTCTCTGGGTTTGGTTCCGGCAATGGTTTCTCAAAGAATGACCTATCCTTCCTTACTTCCTCCTTTTGCTTGATGCTGTTTCATAGAAGTGTAGAATGTTTTTTCACAGCATATTTTGTATGAATAGTCTTAAACTATTTTGCTATTATTTTATTTAGAATTTTTTCTGATATTAGATGATAAAAGATGATGGTAGATGAAAAATACTGTTTTAATAATATCCATCATTCAAAATTCTTCATTGCTGAATGTTAGCTTATTGTAGAGCACTTTTAAGGGAATTAAGTATGATACATAAATGCCCAGACTGGGAATGTGGCTTAGTAGTAGAATGCTGGGTTCCATTCCTCAGTACCACATAAACAGAAAAAAAACTAAAGTGGCACTGTGGCTCAAAATGGCAGAGCCTGGAGGAAAAGAAGCTCAGGGACAGTGCTCAGGCCCCGAGTTCAAGCCCCAGGACTGGCTAAATAAATAAATACATCACCTCTTATTCATGGCTTGTGCTTTTTCAAAGGTAATCAAGATGTGAATCTATCGTGTATTACTCCATGGAAAACTTGGACTCTAAAAGTCTTAGAGACTTCCTCATTCACAGTAATACTTTCTCTTAGCATCCATTAATCATTTTCCATTGCTAGTTGTTCTTTAGATCTTTAGATCTTGACATTACCACCTGACTGTTCAGTTTTCAGAATCCACTTTCTGATGCCCAACACTATTCTTTCCATCTTATTTTATTCGTCCCCTTACCCCCAACAAATATTTTATACTTAAGAATTGCCCACGTGTCACCTTGATGGGTCTCTCTCACCTTTTTTCATCTTCTTTCCTTTCTTAATTATATTTACTAGTTATATTTGATCAGAAAAGTAATTATTTAATAACACTCAACACCTTGTTGCTATAACTCAGAAAGGCATGTGTAAAGTGAAATCAGCGCCTAGATTTCCTGAACTGTCCTTAGCAGTTGGAAGTAAACAGGAATATGCTAATTAATCTTGCAGGAAGTGGGAGCTAGCTTAGTAGGCATATGAGGACAACTTGTTAAAACAAAAACAAAAACAAAAAAACCCCATACTATCATGAATAAAATCCCCACAGTCAAAAAGAACCAGGCCACTTGTTAGATAGTACCTTATATTAGAAAGAGGATGATCTTAGTTAATTGAGTTTACAGTTTTTAAAAGAATATGGACATTGGTGGGCGCCTGTGGCTTACACCTGTAATCCTAGCTACTCAGGAGGCTGAGAACTGAGGATCTCAGTCAGCCCAGTCGGGAAAGTCCATGAGACTCTTATATCCAATAAACCATCAGAAAACTGGAAGTGGGACTGTAGCTCAAGTGGTAGAGCGCTAGCCTTGAGCTGAAGAGCTGAGGGACAGCGCCCAGGCCCAGAGTTCAGGCCCCACGACCAACAAAGGATATAGACATATAAAATAAGTGTGGAAAAATATTCCTAAAACACACCAAAAGACTTTTATTATGTTTAAACTTGAATGGTATCACAGGAAGTTAGTTCATATTCAAGTAATAGTTAGCACTGTTAAGGTATTTCTAGATAATTCATCTTTTTCTGAATACTGGTTGAAATATTTTTCCTGCCTTTAATTGTCAAACCCATACCACTTTCATATTTAGCCAGCTATCTTCTCAATTAATTCCTATAGATACATTCAGATAGGAATGATTGTCTCTTACTAGTCAAACTCACACAATACAAATTTATTTCCCTTATTTTTATTATACCTTTCTATTTCTCAATTGGCTATATTCCACATTTATCTGTTTTGGTTCATATCTTTGTTTCAATCTGATTTAAGGGAAGTCACTTCAATTTTTACACATTTAGTATGATATTGGCTATGTATTTGTCATATATATCCACTTTTTACTCTTAAATTTTTATTTGTCCATTTTTGTTTGCTTTACTATTATGTTCTATTCTATAATTTTCCAGAGATTCTTATCATGAAAGTGTGTTGAATTTTGTCAGAAGCTTTTTGTGTATCAACTGAGATGATCATGTGATTTATTTGTTCTTGGTCCTGTTTATGTGATGTATTATATTTAGTGATTTATGATTATTGGATTATCCTTTAACCTTGAGATGAAACCAACTTGATCATGGTGTGTCATCTTCTTAATATACTTAAGATACTGTCATCTTCTTAATATGCATCTTCTTAATATTCAGTTTGAAATAATGTTATTGAGAATTTTTGCACCAATGTTTATCAGAGTGATTAGTCTGTAATCATAAAGCCAACCATTTTTGTAGCTTTTCTTGATTCACCATGATCTTATGATGATGTCAGGAAAAAAATACTAATGTATCTATAGATATAATGGACAGTTTCATTGAGTCTTGGCCTCAAGATTGATTCTTCTCTGTATGCAAGCTGTTAACTGCCTTTAACTTAGGCCCTAGTCAATGCTGTTCTTTTCACAAACAAGCACAGATTCCCCACAGCCCTGCTGTACACCAGTGACACATGCCCTCATTACTCATCTCATGGAATAATTCAGTGAGTTTTTCCTTTGCTCCTTTTCCACTCCTGTGTTGATTCTTTTTGTCTTAATTCTTTTCTACAATGTTGATTACTCTACTTGTAGCTTACCCAATCATTCAGGCAGGCCTTGAATGAATGTTTGTTCTTATATCCCACCCGACAATAGACAGGAATGAGGAATTAATGCAGATCTGATATAGATCGATCGATCGATAGATAGATATGTAGATATACATATATATGTAGATGTGTATATTATAATTATGTTTTGTATATAATTTATATAATTATGTATAATTATATAGTATATAAAATTATCTTTCTATATAGATATCTATCTGTAAAAAGATAGGTAATTAACTAGCACTTGAACTTAATAAGTTTGTCCTAGGTTTATTTGTCTGTATCTCCTTTCAGTTATACCTAATTTACAGGATTTTCTTATTATTGGAATATTATATTATCATATAAGATATTATTGTATTGCAGATATAAACAGATATATCTGTAATGTACAAATATCTGTATATCTATCTATCTATTTATCTATCTATCTATCTATCTACAAAATACAATCTCAGTCCTACAAACCAGCAACTCAGGAAACAGAGATGAGGTAGTTGCAGGTTCAAAGTTAGCCTGGGCAAAATTTAGAGTCTTCTCCCAAGAAAGAAGTTGAGTATGGTACTATATACCTCAAATCAGACACTGTGGAAAGTAGAAGTAGAAGGATAATATTGTAGGCTAGCCAAAGTAAAAAAACATGAGACTCTATTTGAAAAATAACTGGAACCAAAAAGCATTAGAGGATTGCTTAGAGTGCTTGCCTAGCAAAAATGAGACCCTGAGTTCAATTTCTAGTGCTGCCAAATAATCTAGTACTAATCCTGCCCCACTTATATTCCCATTAAATATTTGTCTCAGTATATATATCTATATATTCTATAAGAATAATTGCATGAATTTGCCTCAACACATGTTCTTTTAAACTGATCATATTAGTCACTTTTTACTTTTCTTTTATAGTATAGAGAAAAAAATGGAGTATGAGAATGAAATCCAATCTTTGCTCAGAATGAAGAAAAAGAACAGTGCATATCTCAAAGAGCTCTATGAGGAATGTTATCACGTTGGTTCCATTTTTGCCATAACCAAGAAAAAAACTCAAGAAATGGAAGATATAATGGCAGAAGTGAAAAGAAAATTCAAGGTTGTGTATGTTTTTTTTCTAATGAAAAACCAGAGTAGCTGGCTTGAATTTACTGAATTAATTTTTCTTGATAGTTCTTAACTGTCTGGTATTTATTTCCCTACTCCTATGGGAGCTAAGAAAACACTAGAAAAATATTAGAAATTGTTCTCCACTTAAGAATGCTTCCCAATTGCTAAACATCTTCATCTCTCAGCATGAAGCCATGGTATGGAATTATAACCATTGACACAGGCATATCTGGCTCAGAATAGTGCTGCATTAAAAAGAAATTTCTATGCTGTCATTAGACAAGTCAAGTTCATAGTAGTTCAAGTTTGATTGCAACTTTGTGATGATCCTCTTATTTTGGGGACTGAATCACATACATCTATGTAGCATTCTTGTTTATCTTGTTTTCTTTGTAGATATCTATATTTGTTGACCATGTTAATCCATGTTATCAAAAAATTAATTTTAGCAATATTACTCCTGAGGTAACTCTAGGAGATAACCTTTAATGCCTTAAGGGATAGAAATTTCTGAATTATGTTCAAGTTAATGTCGCCATAAAATGCCACTTAAGTTTTAGTCAGTTCACAGTAGCCAATAATCAAAGTTATCTTGTAATTTTCAGAAATATCCAATTATAACAGATTGTTTTGTCCAAATTTGTCATTATTTAATCTCAGTAACTGATCTATTCAGAAAATAGGTGTTTGGTCAAACTCTAAAATGCTTTTTGGATTAGGAAAAAAATGAACAAACATAAAAACATATTGAATTAATGGTATTGATGAGTTTAACCATCCAAAACATCTCAAGAATGTGGCATTGCACCAAAGAAAGCTTGAAATCTTTAACCACATATTTAGTTCAATATTTCAGTTGAAGGCTTCTGTGCAAGCTACAAGATCTTAAAAGGATTTTTTATAGTAAAATTTGGGTAGAAAGGGGATTACATAAGGCCTTGCTGGTTCCACTAAAATCATAGTGCTAAAGCCATGTGGGAAAAACATAGAAGACTTCAGTGCGCTTCAAATCTAGTGTTCACAATACTGCACAATTCTTTTTTCATTACCATTATATAGTTGTACAAAGGAGTTGCTATTCAACAAAGCAGTTTATGAATACAATGCATCTTGGTCAACTTCACCTTTTTGAACATTCTCATTTCCCCCTTACCTTTCCTCATTTTTCTCAATTTTGTGGAATACTGGATAGTTCTTATTCATTCTTTTGTTTGGGGGATGAAGTGATTTGCCCAAAGTAGCACCGCTTTTAGGTAACAGTGTGGACTTTGAGTAGCAGGAGATCAGACACTCAATTTGGTATAATCAGTAAGACACCAGTCCTAAACTTTGACCCACAAAGATTTAGTCAAGATCAAAATTTGAATGCCATCACATTAGGAAGTCATTTTCTCAGCAATCTGGTCCTTAACTTTATCATTTAGAGACTATTTCCCCCCTGTATACTTTGTACGAATGTTTCAACCAATCCCAAATATTCTTAGCAGAAAACTCTTAGTCTTCTCTTCAAATGTTATTATGAGTCCCTCTTTGTCAGTGTTGGTTATACCTCCTGTGGTTTCTGTTTCCTACTAGCAGTCAAAGTCCAAAATCATAAGATGAAGAATTAAAAAAAAAGGTAGAACTTTTAAATTCTGTGCCACCCTGAGTGGCATGGTGAACTATTGGGCTAGCCTGCTCTGTGTGTCCAAACCCTGAACGAACATCATTCCTTTGCCTCAATGTGTCCATGCCTTATATGCTACCAGCCTGTTTGTCACTCAGTAAGCATCTTGGTTATATGACTGTGGAGGTATTACAGTGCTTATGCTTTACCAACCATCATTTGTCACTAAAGCTCAAGGGTAATGATGCCTGAATGTTTTTTACAGTATATTGATTGCTTTGAAATAATATTTGTCATTGTTAATATCTCATGCTTCTTAATTATCAGTTAAACATTTTTTTGTTTGTTTGTTGGGAGTGGGGCTTTAACTCTGGGTCAGCTCCTCAGCTCAAGGCAAGAGCTCTACCACTTGAGCCACTTCCAGCTTTTTCTGTTCATGTGGTGCTGAGGAATCAAACCCAGGGCCTCATGTATGCAAGGCAAGCACTCTAGCACTGAGCCACCTTTCTAGCCCCAGTTATCAGTTAAACTTTATGATAGAAAAGTTTTTTTAGGTGTGATACAGTGTGAATATCCACGAGGTATCTCAGAGTGTTTCTCTTGTAAGTGTTGACTACTGTATTTGTTTCCCCTCTGAGACGAAGTTCAAAGGATCCTCATTTAAATAAAAGAAAAGCCGTTCCAAATAGCTTCTATGGAAGGAATAACTCCATCCATAGAGGCATACTTAGAGTATTTCTAGTTCAATCAACAGAAAGCAGTTCTCATAAAACATGAGACAGAACTACTCAACTTCTATAAACTGTTTCAGATGAGATTAACATGTTTTAATACCAATTGTAAAATGAACATCCTAATAGCTCATTGATTCTGTTTTGGAGGAGTTTTGCCTTACAGCAGGTCGAATCAAGAGTGTATCTCTCTTGTCCCACCTAAAATAGCTTTCATTGAATTATGAATTGACATCTTATTCTTGGCTATAATGAAGATTGATAGAAGTTATGACCAAAATTGACTGTAGCAGTTTGGTTTTTTTCCCTCAACTAATAAGACATAATCTTCTTGTAATGATGGTTAAAATGCTACACAACTAATTCATCTTAGATTTCAGAACTCAGTTAAACTTTCCTGGCAGAATTGGATTTCTTTTTCTTTTTTGTTTTGGTCAGTCATGAGGCTTTAACTCAGGGCCTGGGTGCTGTCCCTGAGCTCTTCAGCTCAAAGGCGAGTGCTCTACCACTTGAGCCACAGCGCCACTTCCATGGATTTCTTCCTTTTTAAAAAAATTAAGGAGAAACCTAATTTATGAATAGCTAAAGAGAAACTGTTTCTCACTTGTGTCATGTAATCCCTTCCTCCCCCCCCCCCCGTGTTCCTTTGTTTACGATTTTTCTTTTGTATTCTTGGCTTTTTGTTTTATTTTTATTCTAATTTCCTAAGATTCTTCCGTTCATTTAGAGGCAGAATAGTTGTCATAAATGGACTATTTCATGGTCTGTAATGTTGAGAGCAGCAATCCCATAAGGAATGGTTGCCAGGGGAAAGAGTGGTAGGATACAGATGATGCAGACACAGTATGACATCAGATTCCAATTCTTCTAATGGCTTAGTCAAGCATCTGAAAAGCACATTATTTTTCTGACATATATTTGAGTAGGTAAATGCACCTGAAAAGCATGATAGAAAAAATCCTTAGCCATCCATGGATCTTGATGGTGCAAAACATTTGAGGACATAATAAGACTTTGACTGTCCGTAACCATCATCTGCAGACATGATTTCTATCTGCATTCAACTGCATGAGCTTGTTAGAAAACAGGTGCAGCATTTCCATTTCATCCTTTTGCTTCTGTTTTTCTCCTCCATTATCCAAGGCAAATCTGATTCCACTGAAAAAGCTTAGGCATTTGACTTGGATTATTCCTTAATTTGAATTTTGGTCCTGCTCATTATTTGTTAGGAAAATAGTGAGAATGTCCTGGGACTTTTATTAGCCTTTTGTACACCTGTGTAGTTAATAAATAATGCTGTACCTAAAATATTTAACTAGAGCCTGACAGAGGAAATATTGTCAGAGCATGAGGTTACATTTTTTTTGTTCAGGACTAAAATAAAAATCTTTACACATTTTTACTTTTCAGATTGTTCCCTGATGAATGTGTCTAATACGCAGGTTCTAAATAACACAGTAAAACAGATATTAAAAATGGGTTGAATGGTTAGTTTGAATGATGCTTTTAGCAATTGCTTCCTATATTATTCCCTTTATCTCTCACATTAATTTCACAAAAAAGCAGGTGAAGCTATCTTAACTTTACATATGTGGAAACTCAAGGTGAACAATGGCAAATATATATATCTGTGTGCTAAAGTATCTAAGTCAGTATATATTCAGGCTTCTGGAACATTCATTAAAATATGAAAGAGAAATTAAAATATATTCATAATCTGTAATGCTACAAACACATGATTTTAGGAAAATTACCAGATTTAGAAAAATTAACAGTGAAGATGAACAAAATCGAGAGATGCATGTTTAAAGATGTTATAATTAATTACATAATTATCACTGGACAACAGAGCGTTCATTGGGGTAAAAATCTTGTTTATTTTGTAAATATGGTGGCATTCACCACTTGAACAAGACTAAGGAGAAAGTAAATCTTGGGATTGGAGTCAGTGGCTCACACCTGTTATCTTAGCTACTCAATAGGCTGAAGATGAGGGCTATGATTTGAAGCCAACCTGGGCCCAAATGTCTGTGAGACTCTTATCTCCAATTAAACACCAAAAAAAGAAGCTAGAAGTTCAGTTTAGGCTCAAATGGTAGAGTGCTAGTCTTGAGCAAAAGAGCTCAGGGAACAGTGCCCAAACCCTGAGTTCAAGCCCTAGAACTGGCAAAGAAAAAAAAGAGGTAGAAATTTCAAACTCTACTACAAAGCCATAGTAATCAAAACAGCTTGGTACTGGCACAAGAACAGACCTCAGGACCTTAGAATTGAAAACCCAGAAACGAACCCACAAACCTATAGCCATCTAATCTTTGATAAGGGAGCTAAAAAAAAATAAAATGGAAGAAAGACAGCCTCTTCAGTAAATGGTGCTGGCAAAATTGGTTAATCACTTGTAGAAAACTAAATCTAGATCCTTATATATTACCCTGCACCAGAATCAACTCTAAATGGATCAAAGACCTAGAAGTCAAAGCAGACACCCTGAAAACATTACAGGAAGGAATAGGAGAAACCCTAGGTCTCCTTGGCACAGGCTGAAATTTTCTTAATAGAGACCCAGAAACACAACAAATCAAAGACAGGTTGGACAAATGGGATTGCATGATGTTGCAGAGCTTCTGCATGGCAAAGGACATAACTAGCAAAATC